TATGCATCAACCACAGCCTCATCTGTCATGGATCTCTTGTTATTGCAACGACACGTATTGTAGTAAATTACAATCCCACTGAAATGTGAACATATGTCTTGTAAGCCATACTGTGGTAGAAAGAGGAATATTGGATTTGAAACATTTGTATCTGTCGCAGTGTTGGTACCAAGCCTCTTTGTAAATGTCTGATATTTGTTTCTTATCTTATACATACTTCAATATTGGGGTCTTTTTAGCAGCTAATTTTGTTGTTTCACATCGGTCTCCGTTGATGACTTACATACACCTGTGCAAATAAACATTGCTATAGTTACTGGGAATTTGAATTGGTTTCACCGACCATGTCATTCAAGGAATATGCGCTAACGGTGAGTTTTTCAATATTAGTCAGATGTTATGGGATCCATTCTTCACATTCAATTGGGGTTATGTACTGTATTAAGTGAGTATGAATGTAAACCTTACATACCCAGCAGTGGCTATTTACAGAGAAGTATGTAGATGTATTTTTTCATGTTTTGATAATATCTAGAGGAGATGGCCGGCATGGGGCCATGTGAACCGCAACAAGGTTGAATCCCACCACTGGGCAACTAACGCAATGAGCCGATGCCAATGGACCCAATGGGCCAATGGAGTTTCATCGGATGACCAACAGCATTTTTAATATGTGAGCAGTTTTAACTTTGGATTGTAATGTGTCTTTTCGCGCCCTTTGTCATACGTAGGTGCTCATATCATGGAGTACTATATGTTGTTTGATGGGGCATTAGATAAACCTGAATCTCCCAATCAAATCCTCCTGAAGAAGAAATTTCTGTACAAGGTCCGTAAGTAGACGACCAAAATACTGTCACGCAGTGTAAATAGTGAGGCACCAGTTGATTTAGATGAGTGACACAGAGAAAGGATACACCATCTCTGGTCACTTTGGTCTGCTGATTACCTTAGAAAGCTGTCCCTTATTGAGCCTTATTGTCAGAACACAGGGTATTTGATACAAAGCCCTTTTGTATTGAAACGTGGAAATTTTAAAGCATGGAGAGGAATGTTCCTTCTGGGGCCTTCTGGGGTAATATATGGTAGATCTACAATAGCGCGATACATAGCAACACCATATTATTGATAATTATTTTAATAAAAAATTAAAGATAGCTATCTACTTCATACATTCTGTAGGAGGCAAATGCAAAGACAACTACAATTTAAAGACAAAATGGAGACAAGGGCATACTTACGCGTTAACTGGATCGAGGAGTTTTGGGCCACAAGACTGTCTACATCCACCCTCGCACGCGCAGCCGAATACATTGCATGGTCCTTTGCCACAATACGGGGTTCTCTAAATTATGACACACAACGCAGATAATAATGAGTGATTTATTTATACAGAGCGAGTCTTTGGCACGCTTATAAATTCGGAACACAGAAACTGGCAACACTTTTAAAATCTGTTATTTAGTACGTGATATCAAAACCGAAGCAATGACAGTTATGCTATTAGATCATACCCGCTGTTAACTTATTAGAAATTAAGAACTGGGTGAAAATAGTCATGGGAATGTGGCTTAATCTGGTAATCTGAGACTCGACGTGTTTCTTTGGCGGTCCCCTTCTAGTCTGTCCCTAGCTAGGTACCGTGCATCTATACTTAACCACGTGAAGCGTCGAGGCTATGACCGGTGAAAGTTTCATTTCAATGATCAAGGCGGTGTCATCCATCAAATGTTAACTTGTAAGAGCTTTGTTTCATATTTCAAACATATTGATAAAATGAACAACCATTTAAAAATGGAGTTTAGTTCTGCTTGGGCACAAAACTTGTTTTAAGCGACAAAACATGTATTCTGTAACAATCGCACCCATTATAGGTCTCTTTATTTTCATTTTAGTATATTTATCTTATGATTACTTAAAAATAAATAAAGGTCTGGAAATGGGAATGTTTTACACTAAGCCATTTCTCTGTTCTACATGAGGACCTGGAGCAATTCATTTCAGAATATTACCCAGCCATTTAGAGTAAAATGCACTCGTAATTATCGTCTCTGTTACTGACATTGGCCTATAATTTCACCATACGTGAGATACAAATGTGATTCCAAAGATGCAATAAAGATAGTTTAATATTTTTAATAAACACGTTAAACACGGGGAGAGACACGCTGTTACAGCACACCTCTCAGCTGCGTTTTTGAGACCATTCCCACAGATTTTTGGATCGATCTATCTACTTGGGGAGCCTCACTAAACTGCGATCACCTTAAATGCCTGTCACGCCTAGTAAAGCTGTTAGGGGGTAATTATCTTTACCCTAGCTGATTCGGTAGGCGTGACAGACATTTAAACCTCTTGAGCTGATAGCAATTTAGCGTGAACCCCCAGGGAGTTAGGTCGATCCCAGTTTTTGTCTCAGTCCTTTACGTGCCGTAACAGATATAATTCATCTTACCCTGGTACAGTCCACACACCAGCGGAGCGAGGCTCCTGAGGAACAACACACCGCCTCAGATTCTTGGACGACAACCGCCGTCAGAAAGATTGAAACCAGTATGGTAACTAGATAACCAAACATCTCCTGAAATTTGAAAATAACGCGTTATCTTTTAGATAGCGACATAGACATTGATAGAAATGATAACGCGATTCTCATTTGGCTGCTTTTAAAAAGCTGTGTACTGATGAAATATCTTATTATAACTGGTTATATGCAAACGGAGTAGACAAGATACTGTATGCTCTCTCTTCGTCATTCGCTAAAACCGTCAATATGCATTGTTTCTTACCGGTTGTTAACGCTCCTGAAACTGCTAGACCTGTGCATATAATACGTAGCTTATATACATTTAAGTTGCTGTCTGTAAAACTGATCGTTTCTCTGATGCAGTCTACACAAGTCACATTAAAATATACTGGTAGCAGAAAGTATCTTCAAAAGATAAACAGAAAAACGTTTGTTCAAATGATTTGTTCATCCATTATCCCCTTCAAAAAACACCCTCAAAGCTATCACTCAAAGACACTGTCATGTTTGGCTGTTAGATGCATATATGCTTGTTTGTATTGATTAATACACCTGTACGTGCTAGTACATATATGGCGCCTCCAAGGATGCCGCATCTTAATTGTAATTTCCATTCGACCAGCAAAATCTATAAGACTCGGATGCACGGATTTTCTTGCGTGAATTTATAAATATTCAAAATATATCACCCCATCCCAAATTCCACCCTTTATTACGTAATGATAGTAAATGACAGCCATGAATGGATAAGGAGAGAAGAGCGGTTCATTAACTTGATTTACATGTCCTCATAATAACGATACTTAAAGAGATAACATTGTAAACAACTCATACAAATATTATAAATTATATTTTACCACCAAAACAGTGGTGATCTCAATTATTCTGGAATTGGTGCTTGGTATCGGACCACCTGACCTCCAAAGATGGCTATCGTCTGTAATCAAGTATTTTTACGTTATCAATAAATTGCAGTAACAGCTGAGGTCATGACCGTCTCTGGGCAGCCAGTTGGTAGCGGATAACGAGTATGGATATTGTTTAGTGTAAGTCTTTGTAGTTAAATGACAAATGAAGTATAATTTATGTATGGATTAATTTTTTAGACAAGAACACATAATTAAAGCTGGAATAATTTTGTTAATTTATTTAATACATTTGGTAGTACGTATCTTTAGCTGGTTTTATTTTCTCTTGGTGTTTCACTGTATTATTTTCTTTTTCTCTAGTTTTCAACAATTCAGTTCAATTCAGTTCAGTTTAGTACAGCTCAGTACCCACTAACAGTTCTGTACACTGCGTGAATAAACAGCATTCCATATCCAACGATGATTCTCTGTCTTCCTTACTGGTCCGTTATAAATCTCTTAGGAGATTTTTACAATAAAAATATTTGTTTAACCAGGGGCTTTCTTTGAATGTAGGCACCCTTTCATTAACCATTTGTGCTCAGTTAGTATGGGAAAAATATTTACCCCATGGAAATCCATTTTGGCCAAAATGAACAGGCGTTATCCCTTTAAGCAGCGGCATTTAATGTAAACAACGGAACACCGTAAGAGATTGAATGGGGTAGAGAGAAAGAGAGCAAATGGAGAAAACGAAACTAGAAAGCAGTAAATAAAGAGTATGAAAGAGCAAAAGGTTTTACAGTTTCTACCTCGCATAACAAATAAAGTAAAAGTCAATACCAGTGTGGCAACTATACATGAAGAAAAACATCACCGAATGCGTACACATTCTGAAGATGTAGAAGCATTAAAATGCATACAGTGGACAATAACCACTCACCGATTACTAGTATTTCAACGATGATGCCAACTGGACAAACGTCTCTCAGCCTCAGACCACTTTTCAAAAACAAACAAACAAAGTAGCACATGACTCCCCAGTCTGACTTAGTCACCAAAATGTCTGTCTCCAAATTGAGTAAGAGCATGCTGGTAGCTACATGTATAAATCGCTTTAAAGTTTGACATCAAAGAACGAACCTTTTGGAAATGTCTTTGATACAGCAGTTTCACACGAGAAATCAAACACACATAGGATACTCGCAAAAACCGATCAGCACTTACCGTTTAATTCTCAACACCCTGTATGCAAACGGACACCGTGCCTTTGTTTAGGATAACAGAACTCCAAAAATGTGTTTGTCTTGCATCTGTAAATGTTTTTACTCTACAGCGATCATACATGGAAATCTAAGATAAAATGTATTCCTTTCAACGGTCACATATCGTATTTCTGCGTGGCCAATTTTAATATAAAGATACCATGTTTTACAGCTATTGTGAGATAATAATAATAATAATAATAATAATAATAATAATAATAATAATAATAATAATAATGGTTGAAAACTGCAGGTCTGCAGTGTGCTCTGTTGCTGTCGGAAACACTCTAAGTTCCTCCAAGTTTCTTCCAGGCAAGGTAACACGTTTTCTTTCTTTCTTTTTTTTTTTTTTTTTTTTTT